ATAGATACATAAGAGATAGTTTAAAAGTTATTGGACTATCTGAAAGCCATGATCAACACAAGAGCCTAGATATCATCTTTCAAGAAATTATCAAGGAAAGCTGCCCTGATATTCTAGAACCAGAGGGCAAATTAGAAATTGAAATAATCCATTGATCACCTCCTGAAAGAGATCCTAAAAAGAAAACTCCTAGGAATATTGTAAACAAATTCCAGAGTTCCCAGGTCAAGGAGAAAATATTGCAGGCAGCCAGAAAGAAACAATTCAAGTATTGTGGAAACACAATCAGGATAACACAAGATTTAGCAGCTTCTATATTAAGGGACCAGAGGGCTTGGAATGTAATATTCCAGAGGTCAAAGGAGATAGGATTACAACCAAGAATCACCTACCCAGCAAAACTGAGTATAATCTTCAGAGGAAAAAAAATTGGATATTCAGTGAAATAGAGGACTTTCAAGCATTCTTGATGAAAAGATCAGAGCTGAATAGAAAATTTGGCTTTTAAATATAAGGCTCAAGAGAAGCATGAAGAGGAGAGGAAAATGGCAAACCACCCCAGTACCTTTGCCAAGAAAATCCCATGGCCAGTACTGATATGCTGTAGTCCACAGAGTCATGAAGAATTGGACATGTCAGTTCACTGGACCCACTCACCATGGAACTTTTCTGAACCTTTTCATCACTCCTAAATCTCCCACAGCTGTGTTCCTCTCCCTTCATTTTCCTCAGCTTTTACACCCTTGCCTCATATTTCACTGAAAAAAATTTGAGGCTTTTTACCAAATGCTACCTCTTTTCCCCATATCACTCAGATGCCTTCTGCATTATCTCCTCTTTCACCTCTGTCTCACAGAAAGAGATGGCCCTTCTCCTTGCCAAGGAAAATCCTGCCCCTTCCTACCTTTCTAGTCTTCTTGCACACTATTCCCTTCTAAGTACTCTTTGATCCAGTGACAATGGCCTCCTTGCTGCTCCTCACACTAGATACTCCATCTCCAAAGTTGGAGTATTTTCACTGACTGTCTCCCATTCCTGGAATACTCTCCTTTTTCATCTTTACCTCCAACTTTTCCCGACTTCTTTCAAGTCTCTGCTAAAGTCCCACCTTGTGCAAGAAGCCTTTACCAGTCCTCCTTAATTTTAATGCCTTTCTTCTGAGATTACCCTCAATTTGTCCTCTACATAACTTATTTGTATATTGTTGTTTGCATTTGTCTTCCTTGCTAGACTGTGGGCTACTAGGGAGCAGGAATTGTTTTTTTGTCTTTCTTTATAGCCCCAGCACTGAGCACTGTACCTGGCACATAGAAGACACTTAATAAATGCTAATTGATTTACTTTTTTTTTAACAGCACAATGATATTACAGTACATTAACCTATCATAATCTGCAAGGGCAGTTAGGTGGCACAATGGATAGTGCACTGGGCTTGGAATCAAGAAGACTTATCTTCATGAGTTCAAATCTGGCCTCAGGCATTTATTAGCTATGTGATCCTGGATAAGTCACTCAATCCTGTTTACCTCAGCTCCTCATCTGTAACATGAGCTGGAGAAGGAAGTGACAATATCTTTGCCAAGAAAATCCTAAATGGGGTCACGGAGAGTCAGACATGACTAGACAACAACAAATCACAATTTATGTAGCCATTCCTTAATCATGGGACATATAAATGTTTTCTAGATTTTCCATGTTAAAAATAAAGCAGTTATGCATTAAAAAAAAATCTTACTTTCTAGTTCTAACAGGCATGTCTGGCAAGGAGGAGAAGGTTCTGTTCCCTTCCTCTATCCCGATCCAGGCCTACCAGTCCATGACATAGGCTCAGATGAGAGTAGATTGGCCTGGTCTGGGCAGAAAAGTTCCCAGCAGTAACAGTACCTAGTGCGGGGTGTGCCATATATGACAGGTACACAATGAATGCTTGTTGATCTATGGATTATAAGGACCCAGGAGTAAGGGAAGGTGGCTGGTACTTTTGACTACCTACACCAGTAATTGGCCCAAGAAAGGTAGTATATCACAGTTAGCAGTAGAATTCAGGGGGCAGGAGGGGAAGCACTATTTATTATCACACTAGGGTTTCATGAAACCAGAGACCAGACAGTATTGACCTTGAGTAAATCACTGTCGCCTTTCTCTAGGTATCCTTTCCTACCTGATCGTGTGATGCTCACCCTGTCCTTCAGATCCAAACAGATCCAAACTGGCACCAGCATTTCAGCAGTCATAGCTGTTGTCTCCAGGCTGGGAACCAGCTGAGTTTCAGCCATGGCAGATAGGTGTTTGTCAGCTGTAGCCAAGGGAAGAAAGAGTTCAATATTATAGTCTTGGAAAGCCAGTTGGACAAGAGCCAAAGAGCAGAAAACATGGGTGGAAGGAGAGAAATGGGGTCCAGAGAAAGAAGAGTGTACCTCTCTTGTCCCCCTTACCCTAGCCTGTAAGACATAGCAATGAAATTCACTTATTCATGGGTTGTCAATTGAAGTCCTTCCTTCATTTCATTGGACTTATGAAGATAAATGGAGACAAAAGTTTAATCTTTATTCTTTGAAATGAGAAGACATAAAGATATAGATGGATAGATAGAAGATATAAATAAATGATAAATATTGATAGATGATAGCTAATAGGTAGATAAATGCTATATGATAGATGAATAATGGAAATACATGATAGAAGTATAGATGGACGAATGGATGAATGGATTGATGGATGGATGGATGGATGATAGTGCTTACTGTGTGTCAACCACTGTGCTAAGCATTAGGATACATACACAAGCAAGTAAAACAGCTCCTGCTATCAAGGAGTTTACATTCTATTGGGAAGACAGTGTATAAAGTGGAGATACAAAGTGGCTAAAGGTGGGGGGGGGAGGTTCATTGACAACCTTTGATTATTTTCTAAATTCCAACTCCCTGTTTATTAAAGAACAGTGCCCTTGATGCCTGTGTAACTCCAGGTGAATTTGAGTTAAAGCTTCTCTACATAGAAAGAGATTTCAGAATCAAACAGTGCTAGATAATAGGTTCAAGAGGTAGAAGGATTTCAGACACATCTAGTCTAATCTCCTTATGTTACCAGTAAGGAGATCAAAGACTGATTATGTGACTGGATCAAGGTCATACAGCTTATAAGTACCAGAGGGAAATTTAAACCCAATACCTCAGACTCAAAAGTCCAACTTTTCCTTCTGTCTTGTGCTGCCATATCTATAATTATAGAGAACAATGAAGTGGGATTATCGCAATTCATTTCAACAGATGCTCATTAAACATTCATTATCACCATTTGGTCCTAGTAGGAACAATGCAAGGTGATAGAGAAAAAGAAATAAGTGTGTTTGTGTATCAAATACCTATGTTACAAAGAAAATATACCTGTAAATATAAATACATATTATAAAATATGTGTAAATATAAATATATATATATAGTAAAGAAAAAAATTAAAGAGCCCTACCCTCCAGAAGCTTATATTCTACATGGGAGAATACAGTGTAAGACAGGCTTTGGAATGAAGAGCACAGAAGAGAGGCCGGACAAAGAACCCTCGGAAAATTTGGAAAGGGAAGGCCCTAATGACTGGGGAGATTAGGAAAAATTCACAGATGGAAGAAGCATTTGAGCTGAAGCTTATAAGAATATTTTGCTGGGCAGACATGGAGAGGGAGGCATTCCAGGCATGGAAGACAGCCTTTACAAAGATACAGAGAAAAGAGATGGAATATTGGGTTTGGGGAATATCTTATGGGGTCTATAAAACAGAGTAATATGAAATAAAGCTGAAGGCATGGATGGGAGCCAACCTGTAGAGGATCTTAAATGTCAGAGTAAAGAAATTTGTATTTCATTCTTGAAGCAATAGGAGCTACTGAGACTTCTTGAGCAGAGGAGTGACCTAGTACCCTAGAAAAATTGTTTTGGCAGCCCTGTGATGAGTTGGTTGGAGAAGGGAAGCAGGTAGGGTCAAGACCAATCTGAAGGCTATTGCATTAGTCCAGGCAGGAGAAGATGAAGGCCTGAACTAGGGTAGGGAGACATTTCAATAGAAAGGACAGAGGCAAAATGTGTTGTGGAGACAGAATTGACATGAACTGGCAATTGATTGAATAGAAGAGCTGATTAAGGGTTTAACTAAAATAACTCAGTTTACCAAATTGGGTGAATAAGGATTTGGTGGTAGGCTCAAATGGGCTTGGGGAGAAGTTGTTTGCAAGTGTTTTGTACATTCAGTACTTCCTTTCAGTTTTAGAATGAGAGTCCTAAACTTCTTTTTTTTTTCCCAGAGAAGGATCAGGCAGTTGCAGCAACCTCCATTCAATGTTCCTATCTCCTCAGAGGGTGAAAGATGCTTTGGGGAGCTGATCACCTTGCCCCAGTGTTCTGAAAGAAGTAGTTGGGAAAGATAAGAAGGAAAGGCATGAGTTGTAGCTGGGCTTTCACAGTGGTTCAAGTAATAGCTATCTTTCTCTCTCTGTTCCCCCACGATCAGTGTGACTATGAATTTAAACCTTTTGTGCTGGCCAAAGGGGGAGGAGGGAATAGTTTCTTCAAGCTGGCGATGGTCCATTCTCTGTTCCAAAACATTTATGCACAGAAAATATTTTTCTTGACTTCTCAAAAAATAAGAATAGGGAAAAAATATCAGCCTCTATAGAGTAGGTTCATTTATCTTATCATTGCACAAACATTGTCAGCTCCTTTGATTAATGGTCAATTCATTTCAATAAGCGTGTGGTAATGAATCAGCCAGGACTTATTCAAGTGCCTGCTGTGGGCAGGGTGCTGTTGTGAGCCCTGGAGACCCAAAAAGAAAAGAAAGTCCTTGCCCTAAGGGTTTTATACTTCATTGTGTGTGGAAGGGGAGGGCTGTGGGGGAGGGGGATTAGGGGACAGGATTCATTCACAGACACATAAATGCAAAGCATTTACAATGCATTCGAATTCTATTTGTGATGATAAAATATTCCATGTTTGTATTTCTTTCCTTAGTGTGATTATAATCAACAAACACCTGGCAGACTCCTCATTCTAACAAGCGAGCTTGGACAAGTTATTAAAATGGAAATGAAGGTCCTTTTCCCTTTTGGCTGGGTAAGTAGGGACTGATCACAATATTTGAATTTACTTTCCTTTCCGCCTTCCTTACAAAAATGTTCAATTTTGGTAGCATTTTGCCTAGAAAACCATCAAAGTAGAGTTATTAATGGATTGGCCCTTGTGCAGTTAGGCATTTGTAACAGTATTATTCTTTGGTTTCCTTCACTGGGGCATGTGTTTTTTTGATCCAGGGGACCAGGGGAACATTTACTCTGCAGAATATTTTGAGTCATTATCCAGGCCCTGCTTGGGGACCTTCAGTGATGGGGAGGCCATTGTGTAAAGCCATTCCACTTTGGGGTAGCTTGGATTATTTGGAAGGTTTCTTGCCCTCAAGACTTAATTTTCTGCAACTTAACCACCACTTATCTCCCAATTCTGTCCTTTTGGAAGCCAAACAGAACAAGTCTATAAAGAGTTGATTTCTTCAGCTTGGATTAGCCCGGTCCATCAACTGTTTTTAAGTCTCTTCTCACTTCCCCATGACACCCTTCACATTCTTGAAAACTGTCATGTCACCTTTACTTCTACTCTTGGCATTCCCATTTCCTTCAAGAAGTCCTCCCATGGTATGACATCCAAGACCCCTTCACCATGCTGTTCGCCTTCTTCTTAGTACTTTCCAGCTAATCCATGTCCTTCTTAAAACAAGACTGATCTTTTCAAACAAAACCTGGTAATGTTTCTGGACCAACTACCCATCTTAACAATAATCCATTCACTGGCCAGCAGGGTAATGGAAACCCAACCTTTTGTCAGTGGCTACCTTTAAAGGACAATGTTCCATCTGGGTTCAAATCCCAGGTCCCCTACTTACTAACTGTGTGACTTTGAGCCTCAGTTTCCTCACCTGTGAAAGGGTAGGGGTTCAATTAGATCAGCAGTTCTCAAACTTTTTAGCCTTAAGAAACCTTTACACTCCAAGAACCCCAAAGATCTTTTGTTTGGATTTGTACAGATTACATTTATCCATATTTACTGTATTAGGAATTAAAATATCTTAGTTTTATTATAAAAATAGTTTGACTTCACAGATCTTCTGAAAGGCCTGGAGAGTCCCTGAACCACACTTTGAAAATCACTGGATTAAATATTTATGGTCCCTTTAAGCTCTGAAGTTCTGTGAGTGTATGGAATGTTTACAATGTGCATTAGGCAATCATGTCTTCCTCAAAAGTTTTTTGCAATTGGTAATAAAGTGTTCTTTTCATGCAAACTCAGATTACTTTTTCCAGTGCACATAGCCAAATAATTAAAACAGACTATCTTTCTGAGTGATTTGGTTGGAATTAGTTATAAGTCTGGATTATAGGATGTTTAAAAGAGAAAATCTAGTTCTATTACTTAGAGTTACACAGTAGCTTAAACCACTAACTGTGTTGGCTTTAAGTAACAGTCTTTTGGGAGGCCTACTATAATCCATCATGTGTCATATGAAGTTTCTGCATAATTGATTTATGCAAATGGACTTCTTTCTAAAGTTCTTGAAGGAACTTAAAAATCATCTCTTCTTATACTCATTTTAGAGATTCACTTTGCTAGCTTCGCTTATGTTGTTTGTATGGGAAGGAAAGGTTTTTCTGAGCACTTGTCCCTCAGCCCCAGCTCATTGCTGAACTGTCCCAGGTTGCAAATCAGCAAGTAATGAATTACTGAGATTTCCTTGTATGTGTATGTGTAAGCTAAAAGATAGATGCCAGTACCTACACCAAGGAAGAGCAATTTTCAGCCTTAATCAATTCGGCTCTTATTCACATATCTTTTCCCAAAGGTAATTGTTGTTGTTTTTTTTAGTTTTTTTTTTAAGTTATTGCTTTTTTAACTAAACATTCTCGTGTGATTTATGAGGCAGTTTAAATTTCTCTTGAATTCCTGAACATGGAGCCAAACTCACATATGTATAGTAAATAGTAAATGAAAGCCATTTGCCAGCACATTAAAGGGGTCAGACCTCTCATAAAGACAGAAGGCACTCATTCAAAACATCCCTTCTATAATACATGGATGTAAGAATGTTTCTTAATGAAACACATGGCTTGTAACAAACACGGGTTTCAAATGTTTCAAATTTCCTGACAGTCCTTTTTGAATTAGACTTTTTAAAAAATATTTTCCTATTTGCAATTTGACTTGTTAGGATAAAACCTTTTATTGGTAGTTTTCCTATTATTATCCAGTAGATAGCATGCTGTACTTGGGGTCAGAGGTTCAAGTTTGCATGCTTGTGCTAGCACTATGTGACAATGGGTAAGTTACTGAACCTCTCCTAACCTCAGTTTCCTAATCTGTAAAAGGGAGATTAGAAACACAGGCAGACCCTGGAGATACCATGAATTCAATTCCAGACCAGTGTAATGAAGTGAATATTGCAATAAAGCAAGTCACACGAATGTTTTGGTTTCCCAATGCACATAAAAGTTATATTTACACTATACTGTAGTCTACTAAGTGTGCAATAGTATTATGTCTAAAAAAGTATATACCTTAATTTTAAAATAGTTTATTGCCAAAAAAAATAATGCCAGACTTCATCTGAGCCTTCAGCAAGTCATAATTGTTTTGCTAGTGGAGGGTCTTACCTCGACGTTGACAGCTGCTGACTGATCAGGGTGGTGGTTTCTGAAGGTTGCAGGGCTGTGGCAATTTCTTAAAATAAGGCAATAATGAAGTTTGCCACCTGAAATTGATTCTTTCTTTCAAGAAAGATTTCTCTGCAGCATGTGAAGCTGTTTGATAGCATTTTACTCATGATAGAACTTTCAGAATTGGAGTCAATCCTCTCAAACCCTGGTGTTGCTTTATCAATGAAGTTTGTGTAATACTCTTCCATATTGTTGTGTCTTGGGGAATAGGGATGCCTGAGGAAAGGGAGAGAAGCAGTCGGACAGAACACACACACATTTATCAATTAATTTCACCATCTTATATGGCATGGTTCATGGCCCACCTCCTCCCCCCCAAAAAATTATAAGTCACATCAAAGACCACTGGTCCAAGATCACCATAACAGACATAATAACTATGAAAATGTTTGAAATATTTTGAGAATTACCAGATTATGACTCCGAGACATGAGGTGAGCACATGCTGTTGGAAAAATGGTTCCGATGGACTTGCTCGATGCAGGGTTACCACAGCCTTCAATTTGTACAACAAAAAACAATGCCCTGTCAAGCAAAAGCACAATAAACAGAGGTCTGCCTGTACCTGCCTCTAAGAAAGCACCCTGTAAACCCAAGGAATTAAAAAGTACTTAATAAATGTGAGTCCTTCCTGGAATTGCCCAGTGACTGTGTTCTTTGAAAAGTGAGGCTGCTTACAATGGAATTGCTTTTAATTCAAAGGTCATTCTTGACTACCGCCTTGGAAAAGTTGACTTGTCAGTCACAATCAACTGGAAAGCCAAGCTCTTAGAAGGAGATCCATGGCATTAGAAAAGCGCTGTCTTTAAGATTTTATGAAGGTGACCAAAGGGCTGTCTTGTGGAAGAAGGACTGCACTGGCCCTGCTTGGGCCCAGAGGGCAGAACCAGGAACCTGGAGTGGACGTGGAAGGAAAGTCTTCAGCTGGAGTTAGGGGAGAACTTCCTAACAATTGGGGCCATCCCCAGAAGGAGTGGGCTGCCTCGAGATTCCTCCCCCCACCCCATCCTCTGCAGTGGGTATGTTGTAGAGGGATTCTCACATAGATACAGGTTGAACCAGAGGGTCTTATTTTGTGATTCTGATTCTCCACCTGAATCCTTGACTGATAGTGATGTAAAGAGCTGCATTCTCAGCAAGAGAGTTTCAAAGATGTTCCAAAGGGGGGAAAGAAAATGAATAAGCATTTATTAAGCACTTACTATGTTAACCAAGTACTTTTTACGATTATTATCTCATTTCATCCTCACAACAACCCTGGGAAGTGGGCGCTATTATTATACCCATTTTGCAGTTCAGTAAACTGAGGGAGACAGAGATTAAGTGACTTGCCCATACAGCTAATAAGTGTCTAAAACAGGATTTGAACTCTGGTCTTCCTGACCTCAGGCTCAGCACCCTATCCACTGCTCTACTAGTGGCCTCACAATGGACCATGCCCCCCTCTCCCACACACACATTCAAGATGAAGTCTGTAACATTACAAATGGTAGAGACTCCTCCATCCAATTACAAAGTCATCTTATAAAGCTTAGAAGAGGCTCTATCAAGAACTAGCAAGGCGCTGAGGATAGAGAGCTAGCCTTGGAGTCAGGAAGACTTGAGGTTAAATATTGCCTCAGATTCTTACTAAGTGTGTGACCCTGGGCAAGTCACTTAACCCCTGTGTCCCTCATTTGTCTCATCTGTCAAATGGGGATATTAATGCCACTTACCTCCCAGGATTGTTGTAAAGAATAAATAAGATATAAATGAATAAATGTTACCGTATTTTGGTAACCTTAAGGCACAATATAAATGCTATCATTATCATTAGCAGAACAGATTTTGAACTGCTTTTTTGGTCATGCATTTCTGAGTAAAAAAAAAAGCACACATCCTTCAGATGTGCATATTTTCTCATAAAATATATATGTTACTATGCTAGTAATTATGTACATTATAAAACTTACACATAAATATGAATTTAAAAGGATGAGATAGATAATCTAGCAGTTTGAAAATATTTTATCTTTTGGCACAAAAAGCCTTTTTGCTCTCAACAAAGTAGCATAATTAATAATGATATTCTTAGTGACAGCAATGTGATGGAATATGCTTCATTATTTTTTAAAAATCTGGTATGACACTATGATACAGTGATTCAAATATCTGTTTCTAAATTCATTTTATTTCAGAACTTGGATTTAATGCTTCTTGTAGATGAAAGTGATAACCTCACAAAGAAACATGGATCCAAATGGAAGAAATGCATCACTGACTGAACTCACCAAATCATTACACCCATTTTTTTATTCCCATTCACCAATGATCCACAGTTTTTGTTGAAATTCAGCTAGTCAATTTCCATTT